CGAAATTAGGGGCAATACTTAGAAAGGGCCTCTTTGGGGCCCTCTTTGGGCCCCTTCCTTTGGATTCCCCGGTAGGTTTCTTCAGCCAGATTGAAGAGGGGGCCCAGGAGAGTGTCTGTGCAAATTTTGAAGAAAATCGTAGGGGCCGCCCCATTGGGCCCCAAATTTCAATTGGGTCCCGTGGGCCCCAGGTGGGCCCCATCGAAAAATGTTACTTGGGTTTTTTGTTTGGGAAATTACGCTCTTTCCAATGATGTGCATATTGCCGGGGTTGGTCGCAAAATTAGGGGCAATACTTAGAAAGGGCCTCTTTGGGGCCCTCTTTGGGCCCCTTCCTTTGGATTCCCCGGTAGGTTTCTTCAGCCAGATTGAAGAGGGGGCCCAGGAGAGTGTCTGTGCAAATTTTGAAGAAAATCGTAGGGGCCGCCCCATTGGGCCCCAAATTTCAATTGGGTCCCGTGGGCCCCAGGTGGGCCCCATCGAAAAATGTTACTTGGGTTTTTTGTTTGGGAAATTACGCTCTTTCCAATGATGTGCATATTGCCGGGGTTGGTCGCAAAATTAGGGGCAATACTTAGAAAGGGCCTCTTTGGGGCCCTCTTTGGGCCCCTTCCTTTGGATTCCCCGGTAGGTTTCTTCAGCCAGATTGAAGAGGGGGCCCAGGAGAGTGTCTGTGCAAATTTTGAAGAAAATCGTAGGGGCCGCCCCATTGGGCCCCAAATTTCAATTGGGTCCCGTGGGCCCCAGGTGGGCCCCATCGAAAAATATTACTTGGGTTTTTTGTTTGGGAAATTACGCTCTTTCCAATGATGTGCATATTGCCGGGGTTGGTCGCGAAATTAGGGGCAATACTTAGAAAGGGCCTCTTTGGGGTCCTCTTTGGGCCCCTTCCTTTGGATTCCCCGGTAGGTTTCTTCAGCCAGATTGAAGAGGGGGCCCAGGAGAGTGTCTGTGCAAATTTTGAAGAAAATCGTAGGGGCCGCCCCATTGGGCCCCAAATTTCAATTGGGTCCCGTGGGCCCCAGGTGGGCCCCATCGAAAAATATTACTTGGGTTTTTTGTTTGGGAAATTACGCTCTTTCCAATGATGTGCATATTGCCGGGGTTGGTCGCGAAATTAGGGGCAATACTTAGAAAGGGCCTCTTTGGGGCCCTCTTTGGGCCCCTTCCTTTGGATTCCCCGGTAGGTTTCTTCAGCCAGATTGAAGAGGGGGCCCAGGAGAGTGTCTGTGCAAATTTTGAAGAAAATCGTAGGGGCCGCCCCATTGGGCCCCAAATTTCAATTTGGTCCCGTGGGCCCCAGGTGGGCCCCATCGAAAAATGTTAGTTGGGTTTTTTGTTTGGGAAATTACGCTCTTTCCAATGATGTGCATATTGCCGGGGTTGGTCGCGAAATTAGGGGCAATACTTAGAAAGGGCCTCTTTGGGGCCCTCTTTGGGCCCCTTCCTTTGGATTCCCCGGTAGGTTTCTTCAGCCAGATTGAAGAGGGGGCCCAGGAGAGTGTCTGTGCAAATTTTGAAGAAAATCGTAGGGGCCGCCCCATTGGGCCCCAAATTTCAATTGGGTCCCGTGGGCCCCAGGTGGGCCCCATCGAAAAATGTTACTTGGGTTTTTTGTTTGGGAAATTACGCTCTTTCCAATGATGTGCATATTGCCGGGGTTGGTCGCAAAATTAGGGGCAATACTTAGAAAGGGCCTCTTTGGGGCCCTCTTTGGGCCCCTTCCTTTGGATTCCCCGGTAGGTTTCTTCAGCCAGATTGAAGAGGGGGCCCAGGAGAGTGTCTGTGCAAATTTTGAAGAAAATCGTAGGGGCCGCCCCATTGGGCCCCAAATTTCAATTGGGTCCCGTGGGCCCCAGGTGGGCCCCATCGAAAAATGTTACTTGGGTTTTTTGTTTGGGAAATTACGCTCTTTCCAATGATGTGCATATTGCCGGGGTTGGTCGCAAAATTAGGGGCAATACTTAGAAAGGGCCTCTTTGGGGCCCTCTTTGGGCCCCTTCCTTTGGATTCCCCGGTAGGTTTCTTCAGCCAGATTGAAGAGGGGGCCCAGGAGAGTGTCTGTGCAAATTTTGAAGAAAATCGTAGGGGCCGCCCCATTGGGCCCCAAATTTCAATTGGGTCCCGTGGGCCCCAGGTGGGCCCCATCGAAAAATATTACTTGGGTTTTTTGTTTGGGAAATTACGCTCTTTCCAATGATGTGCATATTGCCGGGGTTGGTCGCGAAATTAGGGGCAATACTTAGAAAGGGCCTCTTTGGGGTCCTCTTTGGGCCCCTTCCTTTGGATTCCCCGGTAGGTTTCTTCAGCCAGATTGAAGAGGGGGCCCAGGAGAGTGTCTGTGCAAATTTTGAAGAAAATCGTAGGGGCCGCCCCATTGGGCCCCAAATTTCAATTGGGTCCCGTGGGCCCCAGGTGGGCCCCATCGAAAAATATTACTTGGGTTTTTTGTTTGGGAAATTACGCTCTTTCCAATGATGTGCATATTGCCGGGGTTGGTCGCGAAATTAGGGGCAATACTTAGAAAGGGCCTCTTTGGGGCCCTCTTTGGGCCCCTTCCTTTGGATTCCCCGGTAGGTTTCTTCAGCCAGATTGAAGAGGGGGCCCAGGAGAGTGTCTGTGCAAATTTTGAAGAAAATCGTAGGGGCCGCCCCATTGGGCCCCAAATTTCAATTGGGTCCCGTGGGCCCCAGGTGGGCCCCATCGAAAAATGTTACTTGGGTTTTTTGTTTGGGAAATTACGCTCTTTCCAATGATGTGCATATTGCCGGGGTTGGTCGCGAAATTAGGGGCAATACTTAGAAAGGGCCTCTTTGGGGCCCTCTTTGGGCCCCTTCCTTTGGATTCCCCGGTAGGTTTCTTCAGCCAGATTGAAGAGGGGGCCCAGGAGAGTGTCTGTGCAAATTTTGAAGAAAATCGTAGGGGCCGCCCCATTGGGCCCCAAATTTCAATTGGGTCCCGTGGGCCCCAGGTGGGCCCCATCGAAAAATATTACTTGGGTTTTTTGTTTGGGAAATTACGGTCTTTCCAATGATGTGCATATTGCCGGGGTTGGTCGCGAAATTAGGGGCAATACTTAGAAAGGGCCTCTTTGGGGCCCTCTTTGGGCCCCTTCCTTTGGATTCCCCGGTAGGTCTCTTCAGCCAGATTGAAGAGGGGGCCCAGGAGAGTGTCTGTGCAAATTTTGAAGAAAATCGTAGGGGCCGCCCCATTGGGCCCCAAATTTCAATTGGGTCCCGTGGGCCCCAGGTGGGCCCCATCGAAAAATGTTACTTGGGTTTTTTGTTTGGGAAATTACGCTCTTTCCAATGATGTGCATATTGCTGGATTTTGTCGATGTTATAGGCCTGAAATTGTTGAAAACGTTTATTTATGCCCCGAGGGCATACTCCCGGGCCCATATATTTGAAGCTGTTTTGTTTGGTTCAGGGGGGCGCTAGCCCCCTTAATTTGGTACCGTTGCATGTAAAATTTTGTCCTCTTTCGAATGACGTGCATTTTTAGCTGTTTTGACGGCTAGAAGTAGGGTTTTCAAAGTTCGTCGATTGTGCCCTGAGGGCATACTGTTTTTTTGGGATTTGTGGCCCCCCTGATGGATTCCCCGCATTTTGGCACTAGGATTTTCGATAGAGGACACCATTCTGCACCTCTCCACCAAAATTCAGCGAAATCGTAGGGGCCGTCGATCCCTGCTGAATCCCTGCTGAACCCCTGCTGAATCCCTGCTAACTTCCGTTACATCTCGATGTAGCCGTCTCCGGCCCCGCCGTGACTCCTCTCTGACTCTCTCTGTGAGTGTCCTCCGACTACCCCCCGGCCCGCTGTTGACGGCAGGACGCGCCGTGTCGCCAGCAACTGCCCCAGTGTGACCGCCTGACTACAGCTGGCCTGTAACTGCCTGTGTCTGTCTCTGTACCCGCCTCTGACCGTCTTATCTCTGTCGTCCGCGGTTGGCGACAGGACGCGCCGTGTCCAGGGACTGGCTGTGTCTCCCTCCGACCCGTTTCCCACTTTTGGCGCAGGGCACGCCGGGTCCAGGGCGGATACACCCGCTGTGGTCCCGCTGTGGTCCCCTCTGACCCTGGTTCCAACTGCTGGCGGCACGCTGTGTCTCCCTTTGACCCTGGTTCCCGCTGTGTCTCCCTCTGACCCTGGTTCCCGCTGTGTCTCCCTCTGAGTTGACCCTGGTTCCCGCTGTGTCTCCCTCTGAGTTGACCCTGGTTCCCGCTGTGTCTCCCTTTGACCCTGGTTCCCGCTGTGTCTCCCTCTGACCCTGGTTCCCGCTGTGTCTCCCTCTGAGTTGACCCTGGTTCCCGCTGTGTCTCCCTCTGACCCTGGTTCCCGCTGTGTCTCCCTCTGACTCTGTTCCCGCTGTGTCTCCCTCTGACCCTGGTTCCCGCTGTGTCTCCCTCTGAGTTGACCCTGGTTCCCGCTGTGTCTCCCTCTGACCCTGGTTCCCGCTGTGTCTCCCTCTGAGTTGACCCTGGTTCCCGCTGTGTCTCCCTCTGAGTTGACCCTGGTTCCCGCTGTGTCTCCCTCTGACCCTGGTTCCCGCTGTGTCTCCCTCTGAGTTGACCCTGGTTCCCGCTGTGTCTCCCTCTGACCCTGGCTCCCGCTGTGTCCCCCTCTGACCCTGGTTTCGCTGTGTCTCCCTCTGACCCTGGTTCCGCTGTGTCTCCCTCTGACCCTGGTTCCCGCTGTGTCCCCCTCTGACCCTGGTTCCCGCTGCGTCCCCCTCTGACCCTGGTTCCGCTGTGTCTCCCTCTGACCCTGGTTCCGCTGCGTCTCCCCTCTGACTCTGTTTCCGCTGTGTCTCCCTCTGACCCCGGTTCCCGCTGCTGGCGGCACGCTGTGTCTCCCTCTGACCCTGGTTCCCGCTTTGTCTCCCTCTGACCCTGGTGGTTTCCGCTGCTGCCAGGGCTCGCCGGGTCCAGGGGGGGATACATCCGCTGTGGACCCGCTGTGTCTCCCCTCTGACCCTGTTTCCGCTGTTGGCGCAGGGCGCGCCGGGTCCGCCAGCTGAAGGACTGGCTGAAGCAGGTGCCGTGCGCGCAGACGGAGCGCTGGCCGTGCGGCGCGCCGCTGCTCGAAGCCGAGGTAGTGCGCGCGCTGGAGCAGGCCGTCGACCAGCACCGGCCGTCGCAGCCGCGCACCCGGCTCAACGTCAAACCGCACCTGCTCTACAAGGTGAGTCGGCGGCCGGGAGGGGAGGGGAGGGGAGGGGAGGAGTCCGCGGTGGGAGAGGGGGGGGGGGGGGCGGCGGGGGAGGGAGCCTTTAGACGGTGGCGATGAACGTTTCACAAAGCCCAGAAGTGGGATGGCCGATGCGGATTAAACCGGAACTTGTGCCGGATTCGTGAGACTCTATCAACTTGCCCTGCTTCAACTCCTAACAAACTGTTTGAGGTCAAAGTCGACTACTGGCCTCCTCGGGTTGTGCGTTATTTGGGACTAAGCTGGATCAATGGCAGTTTACCTGGGGACAGGGTAAAGGTGGGCTGTCTGAGTATCATCCAGCGGACAAAAGGTCATTGAGCTACTGCAGTGTACATAAAACCGCCGAGTGGCGGCGGAAGGTATTCTAGGATAGGGGTGCAAACGATATTGAAGCGCCCCTTCCGGCTGGGCGCCCCTTACCATGCCGATGGCCGTCCCTGCACTGGAAAATCAGTTTCGCCCCTTTACAGGCGCCCATAGAAGTTTGCAGAGTGCTATTCCTGGTCATAATCATCTCCCCAGTAAAAAAAAACGCAAAATACGCCCTAGCACTAGGGGTGTAACCGCCCATACGGACAGTGCAATTTTACAGGCCCCAATCTCGGACCTCCCTTAACATTCATATGTTGTAAACGGCAAACCGCCCCCGATAAATGTTACACAAACTAATTTCCTCTCGCATATCGGCCATCAGGCGCCCCTTTTTGTCGCATGGAGCCTGCAACGCTATAAGCCCTCATATGTTCGTGTTGGCGTTCGGAGGCTATCGCCTTCAAAGACGTCTCCATAAATGTTTCTTTTTCGTCCCACACACAGGCGCCCCTCTTTCGCATGCAGGCGCCCCTCTTCCGCATGGCGCGCTTCTCGAGTAGCTGCGCCCTCCTAGCCTTTATCGCCTGGCAAGATTATATTCGACAGGTTCGGCAGCATCTGCCTTTGTTTCAGATAAGGATGCCCTCCGCTCTTCAGCATATCCAAAGATACTTTTCCCACGTCATTGCCACCCTCTTCGTGTCACAAGTGCCTTTATCAGTTGCGGTGTCGCACTGCTCAGCTTTATGGCCGCCGCACCTCTTAACTTCCTGCCTCCTTTACAGATTTTCGAGGCGCCCCTTTCCATAGCTTTAGGGTGCAGCTGCCCCCCTTGCCCCCCTGCTTCCGCCGCCACTGAAACCGCCGAATGCCTTGCTTTGAGCTCGCTTTAGGTCGCTTATGATGGGTGTTTCTGCAGACTGCTGCTGTAAGTGGTGCAGAGGCGATTTGTAAAGCCTTGTTCAAGGCTCTTGTTTTGCTTTTGATTGTTAGCGCGGCGCTACCATTAGTTTTGTGTTGACGATGCGGAGCAAGGCACATTTCCACTTGAGATGGAGTCACTCCTAGAAATCGTTAGCAATTATCACCGACGTTATTTGTCACACAAATGACGACTGGATGTGCCGTTTGGTCCGGGCGAAGTACGTGGCACTGATCGAGTTGTGCCCAATGGCCAGGCAGCTGCGTCGGAGAGGCGGCGACTTATGAGCTCCGCGGATCCATTTATCAGCTGTCGACGCGCCCGGCCGGATCGGCGGGTGACCCCCCCCCCCCCTCCTGGCACAGGGGGGGGGGGGGCTGTCAACGAATACGGCTGCGGCCACTCCGTCTTGGATTGGATTATAGAGAGCGGAGCGGGTGAATAATCTGCATAACCAATTGATTGGACGGCGCTCCAAAATGAATGAACGTTGGTTATTGGTCTCATCGGAGACGATGAGGTGAGGTCTGAATTTCTCTTGGGCTTTCAGTTATGCCTTTACTTTTTCGACGATAATCTTATCTGCTGCATTGTCGCCCATTCTTTGAAATGATGGCGGCAATAGTCACAATAGTAGAATTAGGTGATGAAAATACACTAAATTATTACTCCTTGAATAAAACAAACACATTGAAGCTGTTTTCCAACGTTTGTTTGTTTTATTGGGTTAGGCCCTTTCGGTCTGACAAGACCATTTCAGAGCCGAAAGGATGATAGGAATTAGGGGGAGACATTGGTCTGGGCAGGCAACCTAGTGAGTCGCCGGGGCTGAGCCCGTCCAGAGGACAGGCCACCCAGCCCCAAGGCACTCACTGCACCCGGTTACGGGTGCGCTCCCTTGGGAGTAGCAGTGCCGCTCCAAAGGAGCAGCCCGCATGAGATAAAGCTGCCTGTCCAGCCTGGATAGGGGTTGCGGCGTGGAGGAGGAGGATTTCAGCGTCCTGAGGATGGAAACGACGGAACGCGTGTTTTCCAAGGCCATGCAGCTTACTTTTACGAACGACGGTGACCGATACCTGCGTGGAAGCTGATAACGCAGCCGTGCGACATAAGTGTTTCGGTGGCTGAAAACGGCACTGATGTCACAGTAATAACCAGACAAATCCCGGTGGACGTACCGTTTTCTGTGTATGTCGTCTGTCGAATGACTTGTGTGACAAACAACAGTAGCTGGTGCTATTTCTTCAGTTGACTTCAGGAAGAAAGTCTCAAGTCACGACTTAAGAATTCTTGTTTGTTTATTGGGGCTTTAGGGCGCGCCGACTGCAAAGGTCATTTTGCGCCCATAGGACTTTAGAATTCAAAAAAGAAAAGTAATTTAAAAGTAACATATAGCTACTATTTTTAACAACCACTGACAATTTGAAATCAATCGCGCGAACAGGCAGCTTTGACGGGAAATAATCGAACGTCGGTGTTACGTAACCTGACAGCTAACCAGAGATTGCCAGTGGCCTGGTTGAGTAGCCAACATTTGTCTTGTTGTGAGGTGTCTATTAATGTACATTAGATAGATAGATAGATAGTTTATTGACACTGCACTCTTGATAAAATACACACAATACATAAAATACAAAATTCTATACATAATGCAATACACTAAAAATATACATAAAAAGGATAAAACTCGAGTGAAAACGTGTCCATTAAAAATAACAAAATACAATATGAGCACCGCGGACATGGCGAAGCACAATCTAAATACATATTATGAATCATACTTTTCAAGAATGTTCTTACATAGCCTTGCGAGATCTAAAGGGTGTGCATCCATAAGGACAGTTAGACCGGAAAAATTTAATCTGGGGAAATGTTCTCGAAGTGAATTTGATTCTGGGCAGTCTAAAAGTACATGTTTCTCTGTTTGCACTGACCCGCACGTGCACAGCCTTTCTGTCTCTGGTATGCGCGACCACCTCCCTGTTTCTATTTTTAACCTGTGTGAACCTAAACGGATTCTTGTAAAAGCGATGCGCTCGTTTTCAGGTACATTTGCCTCATACATACGGTGTCGCGCGACATTCTGATTAAACTCACGGTATGTTGTCATTCGCGTCGATGTTGATTCTAAAATTTTACAGCGTAAGGTTTCCATGTTTCTTTCTCTAAGTGACCCGATTTCTTCCGTTTGTAGGGAGTTGACATAACGGCCAGCTTGTGAGCCCGACTGCACTGATAAATGCATGGCTAACTGGGCGGGACTGCCCTCGAAATCATCTCGTGATGTCAGGTTTCCTAGAAATTTAATTTGGTTCTCTTTAATCACTGTCTTTAAGTCTGGGTATCCCAACTCTGCGTGAACAAGGTCACTGCTTGTCTGATTCCTGACTGACAATAGCTGTTTTTCCGCGGACAATACCGCCGTCGAGGCATGCTTAAAATCGTTGCAAAGCCAGCTTTCACAGCCATACAGTATTGCACTACAGAGAGCACTTTTGAATACCATCTCCTTGACAGGAAATGGCGCGTCTTTGTTTTTCTTTAAAAACGCGGAAAATTTCACTAAATGACTGCGCTTAAAATCTATGTGGGCTTTGACTTGATTACGCAAAGTTGCATTGCTGATTGGTGTTCCAAGATAAATGTACTCATCTGTGTGACTGATGGATACGTTATCGAAAACAAAAGGAACAGTGTCCCCTGCGTTAATCGCCATAAACTTTGACTTCTGCGGGTGTATTTCCATTCTAATGGTGCCAACTTCGCGGTGCAATAGTGCTAGCTTTTGTTTCATGGCATCTCTGGATGTGGCTAAGACAACTGTATCGTCCATGAATAGCAGCGAATGGGTGTTACTGAGAAAACCGTCAGGTCCAAACGTCTTTATGGCTCTGACCGTACTGTTGATATAGAAAGTGAAAAGGGAACAGCTGTTTGCTGCGCCTTGTTTTACCCCAACCGAAGACGTAAATAAACCTTGCCCTAAGGCATTTTTGCTAGCCTGCAGACTGTTAGCCACTGCTGTTAGATATTTCATGCCGCACCCCTGATCAGCCAGTTTCTGCAATAGAATGCTACGATTCAACTTATCATATGCCTTGATATAGTCGACGTACGCGATATACAGCGTTTGTTTCGTTTTCTGAGCGTAATCGATCAGTAGCCTCAGCGTGAATAAGTGCTCTGCACAGCTTCTGCCCGGTCTACCACCTGCCTGCTCATCGTCAGGCTTGTACCACTGAACGAATCTATCGTTTAGAATTCCGTCATACACCTTAGCAAGGGCACTCTGAATGCTGATTCCGCGATAATTGTTGGCGTCTGAAGTGTCGCCTTTTTTGAAAATCGTAAAAACTTTCGCGAAAGACCACTGTTCTGGAAAAGCTCCGTTAAAAACCATGTTAAACATATAGGTTACGATATTCAACCATTCTCCATCAAGAAGTTTAACAATACCTGGCGGCACACCATCAACTCCTGCAGCTTTATCACGACGTAACCTCATTATAACGTCTCTCACTTCGCGGGTGGTGATCGGATCGTCTAGAACCGGTACGTACATGTCACTATTAGGCACAACTATTTTAGTCTCACCGGGCGAGGGGTTTAATAGGCCTTCGAAATGACGGCAGAAATGATCGTCACTGGGCGCATTCTCGCCTGGACTGCGTGTTTCTATTTTACCATTCCAGTTAATTGAAGACCAAATAAGCTTCGGATCTCGCTTATGTAACAG